TCGAGCCAGCGTAGGGAACACCCCCTCAAAAGAGAAGTGGGTATAGATATCACCTCCTATGTACAGGGAGCCAACCAGCATAACCACAGTTAGGAGAGAACTTTCCACCAGAGTACGAACCACAAAGGTCTGTCAGTGTCTTCGACCGAATAGGGCAGAACCCTAGAAATAGGGTCCGCTTCGTGTAAAGATCAGTACGACAAGAGTAGGAACAAGAACAAGCACCTCCTCCGCCTAGAAATAGGCAGGAAAGAAGGAACTTAGTCGATTGGGATAGTCGAGGAGGAGCACCTCCACCTCCCCAGAACGTGCAAGATGATGAAGGCTCTGAAGGGCTATGTCAATCTTATGAAATTGATGATGATGATGACAACCTTCCTTTCTCAAGGGAGATCCGGAGCTTCCCAATGCCTGAGAATTTCAAGCCCCTTAAAATCCCTAAGTATGAGGGAAAGGGAGACCCGAAAAAGTACCTCACCACGTACATGACACAGATGAGCCTCAGAAGAGCCTCACCTGCATTGAAATGTAGGGCCTTCCATCTAACCCTTGCAGGAGCCGTCGAAGTGTGGTACAACAGATTGCCTCATTTAAGCATTGCCAGATTTAAAGAAGGCATTTTTGAACCAGTACCTCTCACGAAGAGAATGAGAGGCCACAGTGCAACGCCTGTAAGATATGAGGTAAACCCCTAGTGAGACGCTGAAAAGCTACCTCGCCAGATTTACTGACGAAATCACATACTGCGAGAAAGTCACTGACAGAGAGGCCCTTTCAGCCTTGAAAGGTGGCCTCAACATGAACACTTTATTCTGGAGGGATGTACGCAGCAAGAATCCTACCACCTATGACGAACTGGTAGAAATGACGAGAGTGGAGATCGTCAATGAAGAGATGATTGACCACCGAAATCGTGCAGTGCAGAGACTCCCTCCACCTCAGAGATAGATAGGTCGAGGACCAGCAGCGCACCTTATCCCCCAACAATGAACCCAAGCAGGACACTCAATAGTTCTCACATCCGGACAAACATTGTCTTCTACCGCGCTAAATACAGTGCTAGTATTGGCATACGAGAATGCCCTTGTCGAGGCGGGACCATCTGAAGGCATAAAAAGTAATCGAAAGAAGAAGAAGCGATCAAACAAACCCCTAGAAAGGGAAAGGTTCTGCACCTTTCACCAACTTTATGGACACGACACCAGCGAATGTAGGGATGTTCCTCGATCCTCGAACCAGAGTAACCCATGCTCCTCAAGGAGGGATAAATACCCCCCCAAATTCACCTCCCCGAATAGGGTAGAAAAGCGATATAGAGACCAATCACCCTGGAGAAGAAAATTAAGGGACAGAAGAGAATCTAGGCATAGGGATCAGGCCCCATCTGGCAACTAAATCATTAGAGAAATTGATACAATCATTGGAGGACCTCACATCGAGGGCAACATCAAGAACGCCCAAAGGAACTACACAAGGGAAGCAAAAGATCCACTAATGATTACTTACATTGTCAATCAATCCCAAGAGGCTAACAAGATAGCCCCAATCACTTTCTCTCAAGAAATGCATAAGGAGTTCATCACTCCCATTGTGATGAATTAGTAGTAAGAGCCACAGTGGCTCGAAATGGACTCAAGCGCATGCTCGTCGACAATGGTAGCTCGGTGAATATACTGTTTGGATCCACCTTTGATAAAATGCGAATTGAACATAGTTGATCCCTATGACCAACCCGCTATTTGGATTAACCGGCGACAGCATTGTCCCACGATGGGGTCAGCCTCCCTAGTGGCCAAAGACTTCATGGATTTCCTTGTGGTAGACCACAGATCAGCTTACGATGGAGTATAGGGCCGACATGCCTTGAAAGATCTTTAGGTAATCACCTCCATCCATTACTTGCATATGAAGTTCCCAACCTAGTATGGGGTTGCTACAGTTCGAGACGACCAGATGAGCTCAAGAGCATGTTACCTCAACTCTCTGAGAAAATTCAAACCCCGCTCTGTTAATGTCATTATAACAGAGGTCGCCAATGAAATCAACATGGACATAGAAATGCTCGATGCCCCTGAACAAAGGGCATACCTCCGAATAGGAGGAAAAGTTGACTTGGTAGAGGCCCCTAAAGAAGGGCACCCTCTTGATGAGTTGGATCCTCAAATTATCGAGTCTGAATCAAATGCGACCCCAATGGAAGAATTGGAAGCTTTCTCCACCAACCCTGAAGACCCTACTCAGGTCTTACGGATTGGAAAAGCACTACCCTCCTGAAGTGAAAGAAGAAATGATGAACTTTCTGAAAAGGAACCTGGATGTCTTCGCTTGGAAGCACAAAGACATGGTAGGAATAGACCCAAGGATCAGTTGACATCACCTTAACATCAACTCCTCTCGTGCTCCACATCGGCAGAAAAGACGAGCCCTCAACTCAGAGTGATATGAGGCATTCAAAAAAGAAGTCAACAAGCTCAGCCGCAACGGCTTCATCAGAGAAGCCATCTATCCGAAGTGGATATCCAACCCGATTCTCGTGAAGAAACCTAGCGAGAAATAGAGGGTGTGCTTAGACTTCATAAATTTGAACAAGGTATGCCCTAAGGATAACTTCCCTATCCAAAGGATAGACCAACATGTGGACTCCAGTGATGGACATAAACTCTTGAGCTTCATGGATGCACACTCAGGGTACAATTAGATACCCATTTTCCGACATGATGAGGAATCCACATCTTTCATCACAGACAGAGGATTGTATTGCTATAAAGTGATGTCTTTCGGATTGAAAAATGCAGGAGCTACATATCAGAGGCTAGTCAACATGATGTTTGCCGAATTCATTGACAAAACCATGGAAGTCTACATGGACGACATGCTAGTTAAAAGCCTCCAAGTGAAAGAACACGTAAGTCACCTCGACCAGACCTTTCAAATTCTTCGAAAGTATAAAATGAAATTGAACCCTCTCAAGTGCACCTTCGGGCCAATTTCTGGGTTATATTGTGAATCAAAGAAGGATTAAGGTGAATTCGAAAAAGATAAGGGCCTTACTGAAAGTGAGATCACCTCAGAAGCCAAAGGAGGTCCAAAGCCCCAATGGTCGAATTGCCGCACTCAGTCACTTCATCTCAAGGGCCACTGACAAGAGCATACCCTTCTTCAAAGTCTTGAAGCAAAGAAGGAAGTTCCAATGGACAGATGAGTGCGAGGAAGTCTTCCAAGCGCTAAAGAAGCACTTAGGAGAGGCACCCCTACTATCCAAACTTGAACCACGAAAACCACTACTGCTATACTTAGCGGTCTCAGACGAGTCTGTCAGCGCAGTCCTTGTCAGAGAGGAAAACATGCATCAATTGTCGGTGTACTGTATTAGCAAAGCACTACTCCCAGCAAAGACACGCTACTCAGATATGGAAAAGCTTGCACTCTCCCTTGTCACAGCGTCAAGGAAACAAAGGCCGTACTTTCAGGCTCATTCAATTGAAGTTCTCACCAACTTCCCATTAAAACAAGTGTTGCAGAGAAAAGATGCTTTGGACCGTTTGCTAAAATGGGCAATCGAACTCAGCGAGTTCGACCTCCTATTCTGACCCCGAAATGTCATCAAGGGCAGGCTCTCGCAGATTTTGTGGCTAAGTTTGCCAAAGCCCCAGAAATGGAGGCGACAATGGAACCAGCCGAGCCCCTAACATGGAATCTCTGGCCATGATGGTCTTGCCAGTTTGTTCAAAAATGTGACAAGTGCCAGTGCTTCTCAAACATTCAAAAGCAGCCTTCTCAAAGCCTCTCCGTGGTCACCAGCCCGTGGCCATTCGCCAAGTGGTGCATCGACTTCATTAGCCCGCTCCCAAAAGGAAGAGAAAGCGTAACTTTTTCCATTGTTGCCATTGACTACTTCATCAAGTGACTTGAGGCTGAACTTCTGACCAAAATCATCAATGCGAATACTATAAAATTCGTCAAAAAAAATGTCATTTTCAAGTTCGACATTCTCCACTCTTTAGTGTCTGACAATGGAAGACAGTTCAACAACAAGAAGATGCGAGACTTGTGTGACGAGCTGGGGGGATAAGGAAGGATATCTCAACGCCTTATCACCCCCAAGCAAATGGGCAAGTTGAGGTAGTGAACAAAATTATCAAGCATACCCTGAAAAAGAAGTTTGACGCCTCGAAAGGGGCATGGATCGATGAGTTTCCCAATGTCCTCTGGGCCATTCGAACAACTAGCTGAACCGCAATAGGAGAAACACCCTCGTCCATGACCAACGGAACCGAAGCCATGAGTCCGATCGAGGTGGGAGTCCCCTCTCATCGTGGGATACATTTAATGAGATCGGCAACGATGAAGCTCGAGTGTACAAACTTCACCTCCTTGAAGAAAAGAGAGATTTCTTCTAAATAAAATTGGCTAAGTATTAAAGAAAGATGACCCGCTATTACAACTCCAAGATTAGAAATCGAACTCTTCGCCTGGGGGACCTCGTCCTTAGAAAGGTCTTCCAATCATCCAAGCCAACTAAGTCCAGAGTGTTGGACTGAATTAAGAAGGTCCTTATCACATCCAAAAGGAGTCCCGACTCAGTACTTATGAAATCGACGACATGGTATGGAAAGTGCTGCCTCATCAGTGGAACAATGAACACTTGAGGAAGTACTATCAGTGATAAGTGTATGTTCTGATCCGATTCCCATGTTGTCAGTAATCATTCGATCTCCATTTTGTCCACAGTCTATTGTAACATTCCTATCTTACTAAGTACTGAAATTGTCTTAGTGAAAGATAATGTTGTAAGTTCTAAGTTATGATACATCAGTTCTCCATTATTTTTTATGGGTTAATCAAATGGTGCATCAATTCTTCAGTATTTTATATGGGAAAATTATTTTGTTATAGACTAGTTATTGTTCGTAAGTGAAGCTTAATATTTACTTAAGTGTTCGTTACTCATCAAGATACAAACAGTTCAACATAAAAGTAAAGGGAAGAAGCAACAACACTTGAAAAAATTTTAATTTCATTAACATCAAAGTAAATTACAAGAGGTGGGCCAAAGCCATTACAAAATATTCATATTCTACTAGAGGGGCATCTTCAGCTCCAACCTCCGATTCAGCCTCTTGGGGGGTTTCAGTAGCTTCCTCAGTGGCCCTATCAGGTCTACCTCCAATAGGCCCACCGAACTCCGCTTCCAGGGAAGTTAGATCCAGAGTTGGGTGGACCTCCCTTAGACGATCTAACATTTTCTGGACATTCCACGAGGCCCAGAAGTTGGCGAAGTCGTCATACAGTGGGTGTTCTTCGAAGTGATCGATAAAGTTCTACACTGCTGACTCCCCCGTCGCCTTCACCTCGATCTTCAAAGATTCGATCTCTTCAGCCTAGGCCTCTACCCATTGCCTCAACTTGGCCTTCTCTTTGTTGGAGGCCTCCAGAGCCTCAGTGGCGAGCCGGTGGTGCTCATTGGCATGATCGACTCTCCTTGTCATAGTAGCCACCTAGCACTCCACTTCATAGAGCTCCTTCTTCAGCCTCTCTGTCTCCTCATTAGCTTTGACCAGTCGATCCTCCGCTTCCGAGGCCTTTGCTTGGGCAGCCCGCACTGCATCCCTGAAGTGCATCGCCTCCTCCAGACACTTGGCCAGGTCATCACTCCTAGCACTGAGGTCCTTTACTAAACCCTCAAGTTGGACACATGTGCTAAGAGCCTGGGCGATGTATGCACTGTTAGCCACAACAAGGTCCTCTGTAGTGCAGGACGCATGTGGTCCCCCTCTCTTTGGTCCAGTATTTGTGGTAGACCATCGCCACTGTAGCCGTCTCTGGAGGCAGGGCTTCCAGCACCTCCTTTGCGAGCTCTTCAATGTTGACGCCTAGAAAATCCACCTCCTTCGAGGGGCAAGCCCTCTTCCTCCTCTGCTGCCCCGGCAGTTGGAAAATTGGCACAGCAAAAAGTGGGGCTTCGACCGGGGTAGTAGTAGCAACAGGGACAGCCTCGGATTGGGAAGCAGTCTTCTCCCAAATGGCCACCCCAGTAGGTATTGTGGTTTGCCTCAGAGCCTGCGAGGGCCTTGCCATGGTTGGCCCCTTCAAGGAGCCAACAGCTTTATTACCCTTCCTCAACAAGTTTGCCTCAGGGTCTTTTGCTTCCTCCTCTGTCGGTGGCTGAAGCCTCTTGTTTGCAGTCCTTCGTCTGCTTCTTATAAGCAAAGGAGGAGGTCTTCAAGGCCCTTGCCTCGGCCATCATTTTCTGGATGGTCTTAAAATCAGGCCTCAAGGGCCTCTTCTTGTTGAAATCATCTACAGAGAAATGAGAAAATTAGTACAAGTATAGAGTTCGGAAACCCTCTATAATAAAGTTACTTCAGATACTCACCTTGGGAAGCAATTAGATCGTGCGTAACGAAGTGTGTGTTCTTCTTAATCAGCTCGTGATAAGATCTCCTCTTCGGTGGGAGCTGATAGACGATGCAAATTATGTCAAAGTCCTCAGTGGATATCTCACATCGAGGAAGAGTGCCTGTAAAAAACAAAAAAAGGTTAGGAACCGAACTGAAGCTCAAAACAAATTTAAACACAATGCATCAGCATTCACTAAGTGATGAATACATAGTTGGGACTGTGAGAAGCGCCAGGGAGTCCCCCTCCATTGTGTCCCACCTTCCAGATGCCCAGTACCACGACGTCTTCCAGTCCTTTATTGAGCTCGGCAGGTCTAGGACGAATGGAGTATAGGCCCCCCAGGAGGTTAAGTAATGCCACCCCTTAGTCGTGTCCCCCAGCCGCCGCTTTGGGGATGTACAGGGTCTGGAAGACTGAAAAGGGATCTCTATCCCAAGAGACGCCTCCTTCCACAACATCCAGGAGCCCACCATCTGGTTCCAGGAGTTTGGGTTTAATTGGGTCGGAGCTAACCCAGATGACCTAAGAGCGTATCGGAAGAAATGATGGATAGGTAGCCTAAGACCAGCCCTGAAAAGCGCCTAGCTCACAGCCACACACCCTGGCCTAAGGTAACAGGCTTGTTCATCAGGCTCCGGCAATATAAGATCTATGTTATCAGGGATCCTATATTCTGCCCTAAGTCTATCCAGGTCGGCCTCTTTCAACTTTGATGGATAGTCAGAAGCCCCCTAATGTTCTGATGTGTGTACTAGGCTATCAAGCCTCCACCAAATGTTTTCCCACCAATATAGCCTAGGCTACTTCACTGGACGTCGCCAACATATTCTCATCCATCCAAACTATACCCAGTTCCCTCCCCAAAGCATCACTACCCTTATAAGCTATTTTCAGAATTAAAAAAAAAAAACTAGTGAGATACTTACTAAAACGAATGGATTGGGGTTTTCTACAATCGAAAAAGAAGAAAGGGCCCCCTGGAACTCGTCGGAAACTAGAAATGTCGTCGAAAAACGCTTGAAGATTAACAGAAATTGCAGAGAATTTTGAGAGCAAAGAGAGTCTAATTTCGCAAGAGTCAAAACCTCTCAAAACGCTCAAGTCTCCCTTTTATAGAACACTCCAGATGATCTCCATCGTCGAATTCAAATGCTATCGATCTAGGCCATCCATCAGATCACAAATTTAGGCCGTTGAAATGAAACACCATATTTGATCTACGCCCAAGATCTAGTTGTTCACGCACGCATAAAATGCGTCGCCTCGATCCCCATCAGCCGTCTACAATAAGTAGCCGTAGTAGCCTTTTCTGGGAATGGGCATCGCATCCAACTGTCGCCTTCGAAATACGCGACAGTTGTCAAATCATCTAACGTAAAAAATGGACACCTCAGATCGAACTCCTCAGCTTTACTAAGCTTAGATGCACCTAATGTGGGGTCCCTTGTGGGTCACCGCCTCGGTGGATGCGTTCCTTCCTAAACTTTACAAAGCTTTAGTCATCTCTCAACGCATCGTCCCCTGTGAGTCAGCGCACCAATAGCAGATGAACTCCTTACTCAGCTTTACAAAGCTTGGATGTACCTGACGCGAAGTCCCTTTGTGGGTCACTGCCTCGATGACTGCATTCCCTCCTAAACTTTACAAAGCTTAGCCATCTCCCAACGCGTCGTCTCATGTGGGTTAGCGCACCGATGGCAGATGAGCTCTTCACTCAACTTTACAAAGTTTAGACGCACCTAACGAGGGGTCCCCTGTGGGTCATCGCCTTGGTCGCTGCGTTCCCTCCTAAGCTTTACAAAGCTTTAGCCATCTCCCCATGTGTCGTCCCCTGTGGGTCAGCGCCCCGGTTGCAGATGAGCTCCTCTCCCAACAAAATCACAACTCATACACTTCGGTCAAACACTAAAGGCTCATCATGAAACAACGAACGATCAACCGAGAGAACGCCTTATCCACATCGCCTCGATTATCACTAAGCCTCAGCCAACAAGTGTTCGGCACATCTGCTCACTTCGCCCTTTCACATTAGCACTTCATTAGAATCGACAGTCCCTACTGTAAGGCCAGCATACACAATCGGGAAAACAAGTCCACCCATGATATGAATATTCATGCCTGAACTTGGGGGGACCACTTTTACGCCCCTAACTGAACCATTTCGAAACATCAGGCATACCATTCCCCAAAGTGCCACGTGTCCATCTGAAGTGATTCCAAAGTTACAGCAACTTCTGACGACTTCCAACTTGACGTGCTGCAAGGCGCAGAGTCGATCCACTGAAGTAACCGAAGTGCCCCCTGACATCGAAGCGTTAGGCATTCCGAAGTGCTCTCTTAATAGATCCCTCTGTCGCCACTTTCAGGAAGATATCTGTATTAGGATCCTCTCTGCCTCCAAGGATTAATTGATGTGACGTCTTCATAGGTCTAGTTGATATGACGTATTAACTTTATGTCAACTCAACTCAGAATAATTAATTGTCCGCCCACTCTATACGCGGCTGATTGACGCCTATGAGCGGACGCGCCTTACACTGTTAGATGCATACACGTGTTTCACATCCAACGGTGCTCCACGTCTATAAATACCCCAAGGTTTGGCAAGAGACAAAGGTAACGAAACTCTCATAACTTAGCTCTCCATACTAAAAAATATATATTCTCCTCCCCACTCTCTTGCATAATTTGAGCATTGTTCCGATCACCAAACACTGACTTGACCGTCGGAGTGTATGCGGTCACCACCACCCCTGCTGGTTCCGACCATGTGCTTCTGACCGTGCGTTGTTGTGCGCAAAGAGGATTACGTGGAGTCGCTATTGATTGGGCACATGGAGGATGCAATTCGCGAGGTCAACAAAAATGACAATAAAATGATCGCTGGGGACCCCAACAGTCATATGCAAAACTTTGTGGCCTCTTTTAAAAAAAAAAAAGTGACGATTCGGTCACTGTAGGCTTGGCGGGCCAACAGCCTATCAAGCCAGCTCGGATCACCTACTGAGCGCTCCGCTTGGCTCGGGCTCATACGAGCCACCCATGGGCCAAGCCTCGACGAGTCGAGTTGATGAGCTACTCAACTTGATTGCCGCCTTTACTTGAGGCACTAAATCTGAGGCCAGCCCTGGATGTTACTCTAGATATTACATCCACATATTGGTCAATAGTGGCTCCTAAACTCAGCTTCTCAAGTTGGAGAGTTTTTGTAATGAGCTAGCTTTGAAAATGTTACCAAGGAACCCCATCTAAAATTTCGATGTTCCGTAAATACACCTCAATTCCCACGCACAGATGTATTCATATGTTATGCTCAGACATATCCAAAACGCCCAAGATTAATTGCCTCAAATACATCATCCTGAAAATAACTCTTGACAAAGCACAAACAAACTCTGCTCGTTGAATATCCAATTGTCACCAATTTCTTGAGATTCCTTATGCCTGAAGTCAGCCTTTTTAAATCTCCTAGTGCATTACTTAATCAGATTGACTCATTTAGTTTATGTATTTTTTCTATAATTTTGAGGAGGATCTATCAATACAGAGTCGTGTTTTCAGAATGAATTTTTCCTTTTTCTTCTCGTCTTATTTTATTACTGAGCTTGGTAATTTTCTTGGGATCTATTATTTTATCCCTGTGAAAACCTTGATGTCTTGTGCGATTATTATAATAGGTTGTTGAAGTCTTCACCTCCAAAACTGCCCCTTCGTTGCAATTGATATATTCAATGGCAAAAAGCTTGAAGATATCGTTCCATTCTCGCACAATTGTAATATAATAAATGCAGTGGCATAGGCAAGAAAAACGTCTGTTCGATGTGCAATATACTCAACTGTAAACGTATGTGACCTTAAACTTGGGTACAATACAGTAAACTGCATACGTGGACAACAATCACGAGGAATCCTTACTTCGAGGGTAATTTCCATATATGTAGCAAGCAAATCCCCAGAAGGTTATAATCAGAGACAGAATCTTGAAACCGCTCATAGGATCATTCAACAATATAACAGCTGCAATACTAGTAAGAGGTACCCTTATTGCATTAAGCACACCAGCTAGCACGGTGGATGCAAGGAAGAGCACCGCGGTGCCACCTAGAATACCCAACTGGAATGTAATGACTCCCCACACAAGGACTGACAGATATGAACTTCGACCACCTTTGAATGTTCTTGCCTCAGTCGCCATCCCATGGAAGTCATTGTTCACAAGGAGGCCAATTGTAGTGAAGATGAAAGCAAATAGCGAAACCATTACTTGCTGCTCAAGAACTACATGAAACGACCTTCGTCCCACTAACTTGTCAAAAACTAACTCAGATAGAGCGAAAATAAGACCGTGAAGTGCGGATGCCAATATGACACATAAAAAACCGAGGGCGTATTGACGGTCTGTTATACTTGCGTACCTATCTGAATTTGAATCCAGTGCAATGATAACCATAGCAGCAGTAATGATTACAATGGAATTAATAGTCGAAGCGTAGATTTTGTTCTTGACGAGAAGATATCCAAATATTGCAGAAAATATCAGGGACGTCGATCCCAAAAGAGCAGCAGTCGATGGTGGCAGATACGCATATGCATATGCATACATGAGGTTGTCAGCGGCACTCAAGAAACCCAAGACAGCATAAGATGCAGCGAGCTTGAAGTCCAGAGGAGTGGGAAAGACACCTAAGACGAAGTATGTAGGAACTAGAACCAATGCAGGAATAGGCCACCCGAATGCTGCCACCCAAGATATTATCCATTTGCTCGTTCCCCCGTTGGCAAAATAAATGCGGGATAAGAGGGAAGAGGCAGGGAAAGCTACAAGCATTGCAGCACTACTTAGAGCTAAAAGTATCCAATGCGAGATTGGCTTGCTTTTATACCCTTTCCAAACAGTGGACCTAAAAGCAGAAATTTTGTCTTTCCATGATGTTGAACCTGGGGTTTCCATCTCTTCTGAAAAGAAATGACAGTCAAACACCATTAGATATTCACTTCGTTACATAACAAATCGATATTGATATTTCAGATTTAATTACTGTTAGAACTAACGACTAAGCAGCACCAGTCTCTTGGGAAACAGTACTTTAAATACTTGTTCAAATTTCAAAGCATTGTTTAATATGAGCAAAGTAACATATCAACTCTCAAGGAATAGCCTATATTCACACACACACACACCCAAATTGTTGAAAATGATTGATTTCTTGGGTGGATTTATTTCAATCAATCGTTGCCATTGCAAACGGTATTCTTTCCATATGAAGGGGTGCTGACAAACGATAGAATGTTCAGTAATGAGTTGACAAAGAGCAATTTTTTCTTTAATATTTACGAGGTGTGTCTAAGGCGAAGATGTCCAAAAATGTCTCTGGAATTCAAAACAAGCTCATTTTCAATCTTCAGGTAACTAGATAGTAGATATACCTCTCTATATATCTCTTCTGTATTGTGTATACGATAAACCAGAAACAAGATAAACATTCTTGAGTACATATAAAGAATTCCAAAAAACCCAAAAGTCCCAAATGCAACCAATAGAGAAGAAGATTTTTTTCACTATTGCTTTAGCAGTTACTTTATTTCATTCCTCCCTTCCACTCAAAACAAAATAAACATTAGAAGAACTTCCTGATTTATATGAAGTATAACATTTACATGGGTATTTTAATCCCAATGCCGTTTCACTGCTTCAATATCTTATTAGACTAGTTTGTTTTAAGCATGGGCGGATCTACAGTGGGGGGCAGTGCATTAAATTTGAAATCTAAGATTTGGCAATAGATTTCACACAAGATTTTCGATTAAAATCCTTATAATTTTCAATTTTGCCCCCAGAATTAAAATTTTGTGAAATTTGCCACCATAACTCTACTCTCGTGGTTCCATCCCTACTTTTAAGCAGTCCAACTAGAGAAAACCAAAAAAGTTTAAAAATCGGTTATCATCTTCTCAACTTATCCTGACCATTAGATGCACTCAGGGCAGCTCTGTTCTTTTTGTTTTGGGTGTGAAGATATGGCCTTTGTGATGGAAAATGAAGACTGCTCTGCTACAAAAGAAAAATGAAGTTATGCAAG